ATATATTATATATAAGTACATATAAGTATAATTACGCGTACTTCTCAAATTCAAAGTGCACGTGGCGATTAATTATACCGCATGGAACTACACGGTACCACAGCCCCACGCAAATTGCGTCGTTTCGTGAAACTATAAAAAAAAAGAAACGCGCCCACGACTAGCGTTGACCTACGCATATATTTTTAACGATAGTATTATCTGCTATATTCTAAGAGCAGAATTTGAGGTAGGCCCTGCAGGATTCTGTCGAGAATAATAAAAAACAATTGTAGCTACACACCTAGTCAACAGCTGATAGTCATATATCGCGTCATTTCCGCGGTGGGAATATGTAAGACATTTATATCCCACGAAGCTAATTGGCTTCACAATTTAGATGCTCGACAAGGTTGGCACTAACTCGCTAGCTCTGATTCTCACATTATATATATATATATATATAAATAAAAATCAAAGCGAAATCTGCTGTTTGACAACACTAATTGAAGAAGCTAATAAACGAGAATGATGCATTATTATTGTATATCATAAGCTTATTAATTTAAAAGCATAATCAAGAACATTTCCAGAGATTTTCTTAATTAATTTTTTTAAATTGATTTTCTTTTAAGAAAACACTATTAGGTTAAGTATTTCAATTGATGGACCTCTTCATCTAATTGCTTCATCAATTCATTAATTAAAAGAGATATGCATCTTATGAGAAACACATTTTGTCCGCATATTTCTACATACTATTCAGATCTATTTTCATTTTTTTATTGGTTATCTGCGAATCGCTCTCATTATAGTTTCATTGTAATAAATAGACCTCGCAATAGCAAGTTGAAGATCTTGAAAATAAGAGCAAGATAGAAAGAGCTAAGTGGAGCGAACAGGCTACATACGCTTCCTCTTTATCGACAAAAAAGTATAGACAAGTATAACATTCGAACTTTCTGACTTTCCTTCAAGGAAAAGCATACCTGTCAGAAAATCTTTTCCTTAGAAGAACAACGTAAGAAGTCCTATTTCTTACTCGAATGAGTTTCTTTGTCGATGCGAGTAATGATCGGCAGCTAGCACGACATTGGCGTCGGTTTCATATTGGCAACTGCGCTCATTCTTCTAGTCGGGCCTGTGAACCTTTTCTCAATCTCCTCGAGTGACCTGCCGCGAGTTTCTGGTACGCTGACGATCACGAAAATTAAGCCTAACACGACAATGGCGCCGAACATCCAGAAGGTGCCATGTGCGCCGATTACTCCTGTAACATCTTCAAAGGTTTTTGTCACAATGAAGGTACACAGCCAGTTGAAGCTGGTTGCGATGCTCGCGGCAGAACCACGGATCTTGGCAGGTAGAATCTCACCCATCATCAGCCAGGGAATAGGCCCGAAGCCTAATGAGAAACCTATGACGTATATAATCAAACTGACCAGGGGCAGCCAGCCGACGGCTGTCACGTCCACCTGTAGCGATTTTACGTAGAAAAATCCGCCAAGAGAAAAGAGGGTCAGGATCATCAAGATGGCACTTATGTACAGCAGCATCTTCCTGCCCAGTTTGTCAATCACGGACGCGGCGACGAAAGTGGATATGAAATTCACTATGCCGATGATTATGGTCGAGAGATTCTCGTCGATTGTGCTACCAGCGTCCTGAAAAGAGAGCGTTATTTCTCAATTATACTATCACTATATGTCGACTTGTATTTCTTCAAATTTAGAATTTTTATTTAATATTTCCGCGTATATTCGTCGTATCATATTCGTGATTTGATTGAGAATTATATGTTTAAAAATTATTAGACGAACGTACTAGGCTCGCGAATCAGTGAAGAAAGTTAACCGATCAATAGGTACCTGGAAAATCTGCACCGTGTAGAATATCACGGCATTAATGCCGGACATTTGTTGGAATAACATCAATCCCAGAGAAATGAGGAGAGGTCTGAGATGTTTACTCTTCATCAACTCCGTGATCGTGTTTTGAGGAGCGGTCCGTTCAAGTTCAAGGTATTCCTGATGTAATTTCTCGATCATAGTCAATTCGTCCGTTATATCCGCGTCTTTACCACGCAACCATTGAAGAGATTTTCGAGACAGCTTTGTTTTTCCCTTGGAGATGTACCATCTAGGTGTCTCCGGAATTATGAACATCAAAGCCATAAACGGTAGTGGCAAACACACACCCAACATTGCTAGGTTTCTCCAATCCAGATACATGCCCGCTACGAAGCATAGCAATATTCCTGCGCAACACAAAATCTTTATGAGATATAATAAAAAATTATATAATGAGCAAAATATAAATAATATACATTTATATACGCGAGAAAATAATATTTAAGAAAATAATATTCGAGTTAAACATATTTCATTAATTATTTCATTTAATTTTTTGGTCAGATAAACAAGAAACAAGTAATATATTTAATATTTATTCACATTAATATTTTTTTTATATTATTTTTAAGACAAATTATAAAATTACTTCCCTTTCTACGAAAAAAGATCAAATTTAGATGAAGAAATTTTAACAGCGAATGTATTAAGTCGACAGCAGAATTTTTTGATTCACTTACCAGTATTACCAAAGACAGTCGGCATTAGACCAAGAGTACCGCGCACTTCTGCCTGTATCGTTTCGCCTAAGTACACAGGTAACGCCAAAGAAGCAATACCTACGGCGAAACCGCATAACGAACGCCCAGCCAATATCATTGGAATATTCTGAGCAAACATGATTAAGATCCACGCTGCAAAAAAATATAATAATTATTATATTAATTTGGATTAGTACTTAAATTCAATATAGGAATTTGGAATATAACGAAAAGCTACGTGCATTGAATTTATATAATTTTAAGATGTTAGTGGGGGTTATTATATAATATTACTCTATGTTAGTTATTCCTTATTACCTTGTATTATTACATTATATTTAATTACATAAAGATTTCTTTATGTTATGTATACTTTAATAATCGTACCTCCGATAAATGGAAACGCTGTGGCAAGTATTGTCTTTTTTCTTCCTATATATTCGATGAGTGGCCCTCCAGCGATGCCACCGACAAGTGCACTCAGCGGCATAAGTGACCCAATCCACATGCCCTGCAATAAGAAAAATCATGGGATATTACTTATATATGAAAAATTTGATTGCGTAATCAATTTTTAGAAAGATTTTACTTGAATACTCATTGTTTGTGGCAAATTTCTAATCGCTAAATTAATTGAGTATTCAATCATTTTTCATGTAAATCTTGTCTCTCTTTAAAATTAATTGCATAATATTTTTGCATATGTTCAGACGAGCGATAATAATGTAAAAATTTAATAACTTTCTCTTTGAATGTATAATTTGATTGAATGTATAATAATAGTATAGTATCTTAAAGTTTTTAATATAATTAATAATTTTATTTTAAGCATTCCATATATTTTACGCGATTAATTGAAATTATTATGATTATATAAAACAGCAACTCGGGATAGGATAGAATAGGATAGGATAAGATGTAGGTCGATTGTATCATGCGACGTGTTTTGCCCTCGATCGTTTAAATTACTCGAATAACAGCGGCGTATTCTAAAGCAATACTGACATAGTTTTACTCATCGCAGGTCCTTCGAATACAAATAAGGTTGGGAAGCCGCAAAATGTCAAGGAAATAATTACGAAGGACAACTATCGATCATTTTGGTTGCTTATTCAGCCGTTTTAATTAAGTTACTACTACGTACGAAACTTTACGAAATCTTTATTTCATGATTGATCAAATTACTAAATATAGAATATTAATTTCTATTATTAAATAATTAATGTATTAAATAGTTAGCCTCAATGTTTTCTGCGTAATCCAGTAGCTACGCTTGTCTATATTTTTATCAATAAAGATAAAAACTATTCTACATTTAGAATTAAAAATAAATATCGAAATTTAAATCTTGATATCATTTGAAACATATTGTAGAAAATTATCGTGTGTCATTAAGATCGAAAATATATAAATAATTTTAAAAACCGATTTCTATAACTAAAATAAAAAAAAATATTTTTTTAATACATACCATTTTTCAAACAATTATAATTTAGTATATTAAAAACATATTAAAAAAACATATTAAACGTAATCATTTGGTTTTTTCTCGCTCTTGAATATGATAGCGCGAAGTTCTCGACATATCTTACGTCGTGTTAGGCTTATTTTTGAATGCGGAAGCATCTTATTCACGCTCGCTTACATATCTGGAGTCAATTTCCGACGTCGTAATAATATTGAGACCTTACAACAAAGTCGGCGTGTCCAGCAAAAGAGCCAATCACGTTTGCGGCCACTGGGGCACAACAATTCCTTAACCAATACGCAATCAGGTCATCGTGCCCCTGACCAGACGCCAATGACGCATTTGAGGTTAAACCTTTCAATTGTCCATTGACCCTTCGAACGACAAAGGTCGTACCTTTTCATACGCGCGTGTAACTCATGACAATTTATAAGTGACGCATTACGCCGTTTGTTATTCGCGTCACTTCGGTCTTCACTTCGGATTCATTTACAGCACGATGCCGATAAACAATTTCTTCGGATTTTTCCTTGATGTGAATTTAATTAAAATTTCTTTAGAGGGACGTTGAAACCTGCGCAATTGCAATATCTATTTGCGATTTAGAAGAAGACGATGTCGTAAAAAATATATTTAGCGTTCTGATAGCTTCAACTAATGAGATATATATATATATATATATATATATATATATATATATATACGTTAAACTACTTTTTTTACATAACGTTTATAGGTTCAAATAAATATCAAGTTAGCGTCTTCCAAAAGAAGTCTTTTGATTCTGCAAAAATATGAGTCATGAGTACATTGTTCATGAAAAACACAGTATAATTGTTGGTATATGCTAATAGGAAACCGTGTCCGAATCCCACGATCGTTTGCATCCAACAAAATTCGGATATAATTCTCCGACTTGCATAATTGGATATTCGAATATTTAATCTCATCTAAACACGATTTATAAAACCGTTATTCGAAGATTTTTTCTTTACGTGTAACTCTCTTAGTGAATTTTACACTCACATGGAAGGCTGATAAATTTCTCTTTTTATCTACAATACAAATTCTGAATGTGCCAAGGTAGGAGTTAAGGACGGTCTGCATTATAAAAATGTCAGTGTGATTGTTAGACTTACCATTTGTTTGGTGACTTCGAAGTCCGCTGTGGCATTATCGCGCATAGACACAAGCGCTGGTGATGTATAGGAGGATGCATAACCGATCTGCATCGAGCCTAACGACACCGATAACGCAGCCAATATCTGCAAACAAATTGTAAACAGCATGAGAAAATTTATGAAAGCATGTGAACGTGAGCTTTAACTCCTTAAGCACAGTTAAAAAATTTTTTTTAAATTGTAACGAAAGGGACGTTGTAATTTAAAAACAAATTCAATCGGTAGGGCGGATTTTAAACAGACACTGGAATAAATGTAATCGTAATGTATTCTCTACGCTTGTCGCGTAGAAAATAAACGCTTGCATAACTGTTAATTGCGATGATTATAAGAATAATTACGTGTACATTGTTAATGATTATAATTTTTAATGATTATCAAGTTGCTGAATAGATTTTCATCACGCACACGATTATTGTTTACACAGAATCTATCTCGAAACACTGTCGAGATCGATATTCGATCAAATATCGATTAAATTGCGATTTGCGTCATGGAATTCATGTCTAAAAAGCTCGCGATGTTCACATGGAAAGATATATCACTATTTTCAAAGTTATTTTCGCAATTTTTATATATGCATTAATATATGGGTTTTTATAATTATTTGGATTGTATAAAATCTTTAAAATGCAGATATGCAGAAAAAAATTAGTGTAATTGGTGAAGAAATGATTTCCTTCGAATAAAATATAAAAAAACATGTAATACATTTAAATTTTTACCTGAGTGAGCGTGAATTTTGCTGCCGGTGCGTTTACCGGCAATTCGATGTTTATATGCGTATCCGCTCGTAGGAGAATCTTCATGACCACAAATAAATTTGAGAACTTGTTACGAAACTATTCTGTACTCTCGATCGGAAATGTGATTTTTCAACTAATAAGATTTCCAGGAAGCCGATTTTTATCGCTATTCGTGGAGACAAATAACAATGTTTTTCAATTACGACGAGATCACAGTCACGTTTTGCGCTCGAAATCAAAATTGCGAAATATTAAGGACTTCCTGTTCGTTCCAGGTACAGAATTGGATTATCCACTATATAAAAAACTTATTCGAGTTGTGAGGTATTTATTTCAAACCATATCAAATAGCGATGGGTAAATTGAGTCCAAAAGTCCACAATTTTAAAACTCGCGTTTTCAAATCAGTTTGTAAATCAGATTATAAATAATTTCGATATCCTTTACAAATTCGATTACTTCAGAAAGAAGTGACTTGACTCTTTGAGAATTCTGATCAGACACGAAGGAGAGACGAAAATCTCACTCTTGCGCGCGTGAGAAATATCTGTCAGAAATTGATATCTGTGATATCAGATTCCGAAATCGATTTGGATGACTTAATCGATGATCGACGAACTGGATATCGATTATGCGCTGACGTGAATGGAAGTTTTCGATGTCACAGTATAAAACAAGCTATTGACACTTGGACTGTGTCGGGTGATCTTATATAGAGAACGATGCTGGGGGCCGGCCATCCCTTCTCCTCGCAAACCATGTCGACGCAAACTTCATAGATTATTATTTTCTAGAATATATCGTACGATGTATCGTACGATGTATCGTCAATTTGACAAGTTTGACACGTTTGTCTTAAGCCTTCGAAGTAAACACACGATTTCAATTTCGTATAGAGAGATGAAGAAGGGGGGGGGGGCAACACGTAAGTCTTTGCGTAACTCGATATTTTCAGGAGCACTTTTATAACTCGAAAGAAATATGATGTATGTTCAACATGAAAACCATAATGACGCTAAATAATTTTCTCGTTTTGTGATATTTGTGTGTTGTTTTTCGAAAGCACATTCGAAATGTTTATTTTTCCTGTATTTATATTCTCCTCGAGTTTTTAAATATTTGAAAAAGACAAATAATTTATAAATATTGACAGATTGAAGGATTATTTATTAATGATTCAATAATTTGTTACATTTAAAATGAAGACATTGAATATCTATGATGTCGTATTAGAAAATTTATAGAATCCTATATGTACGTAATACACGTAACACATTATATTCTCTATTTATATATGTTGTATATATTCTTTATTGACACATTGTGTTTACTGTATCAATAAAGATTATATTGATAATAAAAACTTTATTGATACGGTATGCAATGTGATATTATTCAACAAAGACTCAAATATTTTATTATTTATTCAGTTGATTCATCATAATTTAATGTGATGAGAGCGTTATTCTATCATTTCTTCAATTAATATCAAAATTTGATTTTTTCTTATTGCGATTAGATCCAATTAAGATGAGATCATTATTTCGTCAACTTTCCAGCGAATTCGCTAGCAACGAAAAAACAATAGAAAAACGTCTAGAAATTACGTCTAGAAATTTCACTTTTTTAAATTATTGAAACACCTCTCTTTTGTATTGATATAAACATAACATGTTCTTTACAATCCTTTTATTGCAGATTTTTTTAACGTTTTCTATGTTAGTAATGTCCTGTACTATGTTAGTAATGTCCTGTTACTTAACAGTTGTTTTATTCGATATATGAATTTTAAATAAATGTTTTATATTTTTTAGGCAAAATATTGTAATAGCAATTAAGAAATTTGATTGTTGGCAATGAATGTTGATAATAAGAAAAAGTATATAGTATTGCACAAGGTTGCAATATTTGTTACAGGGTTGCGTCTGCTTTCCGTATGTCCTCTCTTGTTCTCGCAATTATTATTATGCCGATTATTTTGATCGCGACATGCGTAATAATTAAGTTCTACGCATGTGAAGAAAATGTTTAATATGGGAATGTTGCAACTTGCATACTTAATTAGTTTCGTTATAACAAGAATTATTTTGGCTTTATATAAATATTAAAAAAAAAATGCGTTTTCTCAATATTGGCATAATCTTTAATACGTTTATTATGAACATAAAATTCGATATAAACACAAACAGATAAATATTATATACAACTTAAATCAACTAATAAAAGATTGCTTTCATAATATAAATATAGCAATAAATGAACAATATTTTATTTATTTAAATATTTATTAATAATTAATGATATGTTAAGTTAACTATTTTACGATTTACTGTGAAATACAAAACAAAAAAATATCGATATATAAGATAACTTTCATACAATATAAAAATTTATATAATATAACTTTATCATTTTTAATTTATTGGATTTTTTTGAAGAAGATGAAAAAAATATAATGTTTTGTAGACAAATAACATGTTAGACTATTGAAATTTTCGCGAAGCGCGTAAAAAATGAAGAGTTACGAATCAATGCGGCATCTGACGGACCGTACATGTGGTTGTACTACTATGTAGGATGCATATATCTTTACATCTAATAATTTATTCTCAAGAACATAATTCCCGATAGTAAAGAAGGAAGAAATACTCTCAGTTAATAAACATGAATAATCCGCAATAATTGGATGTATTGTAGTCTAATTAGACCGCACTGGATGATTTGTACGTATATATAATTAATAAAAATATTCTTGCCCAATAATAAATAGAGGCAATACTGTTATTATATGCGAAAAACACATACAAAGTTTTCTTGCGAGATAATTATCGATATCGATAATTGTTTTAGAAATTTAATGCATGATTCATAATTTTCTATTTTTGCCAATGAAAGTTGCTCGTATTGATAACGTTCTGCCTTGCCGATTGAATTTCATATTACGAAACAGAGTTTACAGTATTTTCAGAATAAGCAATATCATTATTGATTTCATTATAATATTTTAACCACAGTTCCGTTTAATTTTATTCCTGTTAATAAAAAGAAAGGTTTTTGCATCTTTCCTATTTTAAAACTCAATCATTTCTAAATTACTGAAAAATCTATTCTTGGAAATGGATCTCTTCTAATTTTATGAAAAATATATGAAAACTTACCTGGGCGGCAAATCGCAACCAAGATGGTTTGGGTTCTTTCTGAAATTCTGTGGATGGCAGTCGGATGGATTCCACGTCTTTCGGCAATTTTATGTCCTGAGAATCCATGGAGATTTTAATGCTTGGACTTTGTTCGCTCGGTAACAACGGATCTAGTTGTTTGTAATCGACGTCTTGGTCTTTGTTGAGCGGATCGTAAATCCGCGACCTGTTTAGGGCCTTTTGATGATTGTTCCTTAAATTTTCGGCATAATAGTGATTGGATCTTTTGCCAGCGTCGCCAGAAAAGTGTTTCTTCTCGGTGATAAGAGCGGTCTGGCTGTTGAATGGACTGGTGTTCGTCACGAGGGTAGTATTCGACGAACAATCTAGGGCGGACCCAGAATTGGATGGAGAAGGTATAATGATCGGGGATATCCTCGTGTGGGATTTGGACAGAACGCTGCGCTCCTGAAATACAGAATTATGATTCATTTTAATGATATATTAGAAGAATTCCACAATTTTTTAAAATCGCGACGAGATAGATAGATTTTAAAATAAAAGACGAAAGAAAATATTGATGTGCATTCATAAGCAAAACTTTTTTTAAGAAAATATGTAAACAATAATGTAAGATTTAAATAGAATACACAAAGTTTTTTATCATCATTATTTATTGCGAGAAAACAATTGTTGATTCGTTATTAATCAGGAAAATGAACAAAACATTTTTGTTTATTTCTTTAAATTTTGATGCCTTCAAGTCTTTCGCAAGAATGAGTGAAAATGTACGAGTTGAAACCAGAGATAACTGCAAAAGTAAAACCAAACTGGACATTACCAGACTTCGACTGTTCCTCTTCGCGATAAAGTTTCACGCGTAGTAAACAGATTACATTAATAATGAATGTAAATTCGAGCAAGAATTTCTAATTAAAAATGATAAAAAAAATATATCGTATTTTAAAATGTACCGAAAGTATATTTAAATTTTGTACTTTACTTATAATCTTTTAAAATAAAGATTCAATAATAAAAATTTGCAAAGAATTCTTATGTTTCTTCAAAATTTTATTATTAAATTCTTTCACGACACATTTACATGTTTCTGACACAGACATTCACTTGGAAATTTTCAAAATTTTCACTAATTATTTTTCGAAAAGATCTTATCAGATGGGAAATCCACGTAGAAGATAGAATATGAAAATTATACACTGAAGAGTTTACTAGATAAGAAGTGAGATGCTAAGAAGATACAAGAAATATAAAAAGACACAAAAGACAAAACGAAATCGCGTTTACCGTTAAATAAATCGTCCGTTTATTCGCTTGGCTGTTCACTCAAAGGGATGAAACATTACAGTCGAACTATTTATACTGTTTTCAAGAATGGCTTTATCAAGAATTGCGTTGAAAATGATGCTAAAGTAGAGAGGGAGTCAAATCATACGCAGGAAGAAAAAAGTAAAGGGTGAATAACGCGAGTAAGACAGAGTGAGCGAGAAAGAAAGAAAGAATGTTGTGATTATCGAATGAACCAATGACGAAAAGCCAGTGGCAGAGAGCCAAGTTGATGATAGAGCCCGGTCGAAGATTAGATGACTTTTTTACCCCTGACTGATAACCTGTCTTGAACTCCATTACTAATGACGAGTACGCCATCGCGAATGTTTCTCTAGTTCGTGTTTACGTAAAATTGTTCCGTGATAAGAGATCTGTCCAATTCAATCCTTGAACCGAAATTTAGTATAATAATTATATCATAATTCAGGATAACGACCAATTTTATTACATAATCCAGTAGAAGCTGATGACTCCGAAAAGATAAATACATACTTTTTTAGATTAATATTTTTGACATATTCCGTGTACAATTTATCTTCCGCTTTTATGTAGTCGTTTCTCTTTAACTATGTTTATGTGTATTCTTTTATTCTTGTAGAAGATCAGTTTTTAATTTAACTAAAAGTAATCTTAATCTAGGTAAATGATGGCAGTTACTTTAATATCGATGTAACGATAATCGCGTCAAGTGATGTTGGATAATTAATAGATCAAAAAATTTGTTGAAAAAAATTCATAACTTTTATGAATTTTTTATGAATAATTAAAGAGAAAGACAGTTGTTGACCAAAATTACTACAAACTGTTATTTTCATACAATTTTCGCATAGAATAGCGGAGAAAGAATAGTACAAATCTACAAACTCTCCCTAATTGTTTTATGCTAGTTCTAATTGTCTTTTATCTTTTATTCTTTTGTATCTTATGTATACAGTATCGAATATATTATAGTTATATATATATCATTTTTATGTTTTTTATGTAATTGTATTCCTGTCAAATACAATTTAAAGCTACGTTAACTTACAAACGCTCACAATCGCAAGTCTTGTCGTTGTATTCTATCGGTAGTATTACACTGAGAATAAATCAGTGCGATAAAATCGTTAAATAGACACCCGAAGTGTCGATTCGTGCCCCTTCTATTAAAAATAAGGCACTATTAAATTTTACGGTATCCGTCTTGAAGGCTGAACGTTAAAGCGGAACATTGCATCGATAGTCGGACGTATATAAAAATTGTCCTAGAGCTCCTGCCCAGTCCAGCGTGAAGCATAGATCTTCCTTTGTATGGGCGTGTGATATCATACTTTTTTTATTACGTTGGCATAGCTATTGTGTCGAAAAATCGTTTGTTTATCTCGCGGTCATCACGTGCTTCTTACATGGCGAGGTAAAGTTCACATACATATACGATATGAACTCTGACGTTTCGGAGGAAAACCAAGCGTTTGACGTAATGTTGTCAGCTTGCTCTTTGGAGTTCGGTTCTGCGTGCTCTTATAGAAAAAAGCTCTAATATGCTTATTTCTTAGTTCACGAAAAATTATGCTCGGATTACGTGTCACTTGTAATTATGTAGCATCGACAGCTTGTACAATGCTGCTTTCTTCAAAACACTTTTTTAAAGAATAAGCAATGAACGTATGATGTCTCTAATATAAAACTTTATAATCACAAAATTGTTATTTTTAAATGAAAGATCTGATGTTTTTTTAGACAATTAAATCTTTAATTTGAGAAAATCATTTAAATACAATGGCAATTGCAAAGTTAATAGACATAAAGAATTGATGATATTCTTTCAATCATCTTTTAATCATCTCAATATTTCTGTTTCGTCAATTAAAAATAAATATCTCAAATAGAATTCCAAAAGTCTGAAACTATAAATCTGAAAATCAGATTGCGTAATCCAGTTGTTACGTTAGAACAACATATCTAGTTTAATGAAATGCTTAACCTTCGGCGCAAAATTGCGATTCTCTAATTCAATCAACTGTTAGTCACAATCGTTCATACACTATAGAGCTTTCGTTATCATGAAAATAAAGATATTTATCTCTTAATTAAAGATACTTTACGTTTATTTGGAATTCCCGCTTTTTTTGTTTATGCTGAAGGTTTTAAGTATCATAATGAGTTTATATGAATGATTTAATTCTATTAAGAAAAACATTAGATAATACATGCAAAGTCTATTAAATCTACAATGAATATTAGATAATAATCAAATACAGTCTTATTTTGTTATCTAATATAACAATAATAATAATATTAATATCCACAAACTTAATATGAATATTTCTAAGTAATAAATTGCAGAATAAATAAAATGAATTTTTGGAAAATATAATGAATTATATCGGAGCAATTAATGAACACATTTTATAATGTCACAAAATATTAATACATATTAATAAAATTTCAAATTAATAAAATTCGTATTTAATTAATTTTGCCATATTAAACTAAAACAGATGCTCAAAATTTAAATATATATATATATATTATTTTTTTTTTTTTGAAAAAAAAAATAATGAAATATTTAGTACAAGAAAATAGTACTGTTTTTGTTAATTTAAGATTAAATAAAAGATAGATCTAATCAATTTTTGTTTTATTAACTAAAGAAAAATTGTACTAAGAAATCTTGTAATAAGAAAGATGTAGAAACGCGATATATAATTAATAACATTCGATTCTTTCGAGGACGAAAATAGTTCACTAACAATAGAAATAATGTATATCTGACCTTTCTAGGTACACGTTTCAGTGTCCCACGCGCGTAATTTCAATCGCGATATGGTCGATCGATTAAGTTAACTGCGGCACGATCATTCGACTCTGACGATTGTTGACCAAGGGATAATTCAACTGAGAATCGCTTCCGTATCAAATATTAGTTAAGGTTTTTTCACATAGTTATGATTTTATCAAACATGCACAGAATTTAAACTAATTAATTTTTCAAAATGTTTTCCAGAAATTTCATCTCACTTCACCAACGTGATTTCTTGAGTAAAATAAATTCTTTTTTTTTTTCTAAATTAGAATCAAAGCTTCATAAATTTATTTATCGTTATCAATTAAACAAAATTAATTAAAAGAAATAAATTTTCGCAGAACAAAACACATTTTTGTAATACGCCCATTCTTATAAACAGAAAAATATCATTCTATTGCTAAGAAAAGTGAGTACTCAGTTTACTTTTCTTCTCTTAAACAATGATTATCTTTAACAAAAAATATTTTTTTTGATAATAGTCTTAAAATATATTTTAAAAATTTCAGAAAAATTCATATACTCATATCATATTATCATCTACTTCAGAAAAACTCATATACTCATATCATATTATCATATACTCATATATAAAAAAGAATTTATTTTTTTGTAAATAATATTATAAAATTTTATTGAAAATATAGTCAGAATTAGTTAATTTGAATATTTGATAATAAACAAATCGATTTTTTTAATTTGATATTCTTTACTTAAGTATTATATTTGCTTGTACTTAAATATTATATTTGCTAGGATTCAGAATATATTTTGAATAAATTTGATGCTTACAATGAACTTATGATAGATTTGGATATATGAACTTTTGAAATACTTAAAACAAGTAATATTTACTTAAATATAATATTTTTTCTGTGTGTAGGGACAGAAAAAGTTAAATAATATTTCCGCTTTATATAATTTGTGCTCGTATTCTTGTAAATCCTCTCTTCTAGCAACGACTCAAGAAAAAAATATTTTTCTTTCTGAGTGTATAATTCTGCCTATAATGTATCTGCTATAATGTAATTTTCATCAAGCGATCATCACGCGTTAATCGGTGTTATAAATTAGGAGAAACGTTTCGTAAACATG